CGCAGTGCCCGGGCAGCCGCCCCGCGCCGGCGGTCTGCTCGGCCCGTCCAAAACCACCGTCCACGAACCCTGCGTCCGCCCTGTAAACCACCAGGTGCCTCTCAGCTTGGTGCGGAGAGGAACGGAGGAGACGTGCGTACGAGAGGGCAGCGGCAGGAGGGCATCTCTTTGCCTGGATCTTTTCTTGGTCGTGAGGTGTTTATCTGGCGGCTTTACAGCTCCACTCCTTAGTTTGGGTGTTTTAAGGACCAGCTACTTTGCTAGATATGTGGAAATTGGTGCAGAATTTGCCGGTGTTGAAAACAGTTTCAGTCCTTTGTGTGCACTGCATGTTCCTGTAGCAGCAGGTCTGGGCACTGAATGTAGTGTTTTGAATGGTCAGATAATATTTATTATCCAAGATAAAACCAGAAAGAGACTGCTCTGGTCGTAGATTTCTGTTTCCTTTTTCTGTAGAAAGCTGCAGAGAGGGAGGCTGGATGGTGTCCTAAGATATTAACTGATGAGGGGAGAGCAAAGCACATATTAAACAACTTTGGTAGCTGAATTTTATGTAGGGTGCAGATTTTTTTTTTTCCTGGTGCCTGTCTTGGCCATCAGAAATCACTGAACTAAAAATCTATGCCCACACCACCATTCTGCCTTGTTCATATCACAGAAATGATTTTTGGAGACATAATGACAAAAAAGCCCATTTCTGTTGCAAGCTTTTATGCCTGCCTTATAGCAGATGATATTATTAAAGAAAAAGGTACTTCAAAGATTGCAGTACAACAGATCTTTCTTCCTCTTTCAGTTGGCTAAATACAGGGTTTTTTCCTTTTAGTCTAAAAATAATACTATTTTCCAGGTGTTGCACTTGAGTTTTCAACATTTAATCACATTATTCCTGTTTCTTCATTATCAACTGACTTAGAAGTGGAAATGTTTTGCTTACTTGCAAACACCCCACCCCCTGCCCCATCTGCATTTAACAAAATGTGATCTTTTTGTCAAAATCTGTTTGGCTATGTTCTTTCATGTTTCTTTCTTTTTTTTTTATTTGAAAGAGTGGAAGTTTATTTGTGGAGTGGAGGAATGCTAATACAAAATATGGCATGTTTCCTGGATTAGGAAAATAGCTAACACATAAATGCTGAATTATAGTAGTATTTGCACAGTTAAAGCTTCTCAGCATTAAGTTACAGTCTCTTGTGCCAGAAGAGCCTTCACATGACTGCAGTCTTCCTCGTTTTGCCCTTTTTTAGGTGGATAAGATAGTGGAGCAGCTGCAGCAGTTTGTTCAGAGCTATGATCTGGCCGCCCTGCGGGATTACTGGAGTTATCTGGACCGACGTCTTTTCAGCCGTTTGGAAGATGTGTACCGGCCAACAGTGAACAAGCTGAAAACCAGCTTATTCCGATACTACCTCGTCCATACTGTTCAGGTAGTGTTTGTTTTAAAAAGGATCGTGGTCTTTGAAACCAGAGCAATGAAATACCCTTCTGAGCCTCTTGACAGGCCTGGTGGGTAAGGGACGAGCAATTCATGTGTCATGTATCAGGAGTGTAGTAAGGAGTTTGATGCAGACTCACATGACGAGCTTGTAAGCGGGATAGGGAAGCTGAGGCGAGAGGGAAATACAGTTAGCTGGGAGCAAGATAGTCACACTCTGACATGAAGGCAGGTTCCCTTCAGAGAAGATGGCTGTACTGCCAGCTCAGTCCTGCTCAGCCTCTGTTAACAATTTGGATACCGTGAGAGATCACAAGGCTTGTAAACACCTCCTTGTGTGGCATTGCCACGAGGACAGAGGAGGACAAGAACAGTGCTCAAAGCAATCTTCCTAAGTTGAAGGAACAGGCAGAAAGAAGCCCCAAGTGCCTGTATGTAGGTGGGAGTAATCGATCGCTCTGGTGCGGAATAATAAACGTTTGAGCAGGCAGCAGCAGTGCAGGGAAGGGCCTTACTGCAGCGCTGGGGATGAACAGGCAGGATTATCTGTATTCCTTCTACTACTCGAACCTGCTGGCAGGACTCAGCCAGTCCTTCCAGACACTGCAGTTCTTAAAAGCATCAAGGGAGTTGGAAGGTCCAAGAGAGGGGAAAAAAAAGGTGACTTGAAGTTGGTGGAGTTGAGTTTTAGTTTGTAAGAGAGGGAAGAAGTGGGCTTCAAATCCATACAAGGTAACGTGGGAGAGAAAATGAGTTAATTAATTTTTTGTTTGCTTTAAGTAGAACAGAAAATAATGAGCTTAAAATGGGCAGAAACCCTGGGAAAGTCAATGGACAGGATGGGCTTTGGGAAACTGAATAGACAAATACCTGTCAAGAATTCATGTTTCATTTCTTACCATTTAGAAGCAATGTTTCCTCCTTGATTCCATTCCCTGGCTGAAAATCTTAAATGATGGGTGCTAGTGGAGGAGTCAAAATCTAATGCATGTTTCTGGAAGTGCATTTTTTTCATGTTTTGCTTTGCCCTTGGTTTACCCTGAGGCGCGATTGTCCCATGTGAATAATGTATCAAATGGAAACCTTTTCAGGCTACATCTGTTGTAGACTTGAGTAATTTGAAGTATACTTTGGCTCTGTATACAGATGCTCACGCCTTATGTCAGTGCACAAACTGCACAGGTTTAGCTGGAAATCAGTGTAATTAGCTTGATTTGCCTCAGCCTTTAAAGAAGACTGTGGTGACTGGAAAGAAGGTTGGATTAAGTGCATTTGTGAGCTTGTCCTAGTGTATTTGAGTCTAAACCCATGTTGTGGCACAAATGGAAGTGTGAGCCCTGTTGTTCTTCCTGTGTTTCAGACTGGCCGCAATGACAAGGCGCAGGAGTTTTTCCTCAAGCAGGCCTCTGAGCTCCAGAACCAGGCGGAGTGGAAGGATTGGTTTGTCCTGCCCTTCCTCCCTGCCCCAGACTCCAACCCCACCTTTGCCACCTATTTCTCGCGCCAGTGGGCAGATACATTTATCGTGTCTCTCCACAACTTCCTGAGTGTCTTATTTCAGTGCATGCATATCCTTTTTTTGCAACTAATTGTTAAATCTCCCTTGCCCTGGCGTTATGCTTACTATTAACAGTGGAGCCAAGAATATAGTGTTACAGAACTTGTTGCTTTCAGGTGATTGTTTAGAGCCAAGACTTAATAGGAAGCTGGTGTTTACCAGAGGATGTTGGAATAATCATTGTTCAATTATCTGATGATATGTTATATTCCCTGGGCACAAACAGTTGTGGTTGTTGCTAATGCTGAACTCATCCCTTGCTGCTGACTAGAAATCTTGTGCACATCTTGTTCTGAAACACTTTTCCTCTTTGCTTGGCATAGTACAAAACAGGCATGCGACCAGCCTGGGTCATAGTCCGTAACTGAACTCCTGTTAGACCCTTCTCTGGGTATGTATGTTCACAACATTGTCTAGTGACAGCTTGCTGTAATAGGGAAGTTCAACATTGGCAGAAATAACAGCTTTTGTCCCACACTACCAAGTTCTGACCTTGTTTGCTGATGGGCAGGTTTACACTGCAGCTTAATTTGATGAGCTGGAATACAGCTCATCTTGAAGCATTTCTTCAGTGTACACTAATGCAGTAACATAACTTGTCTTGTCCTCCACTTCTGACATGTAAAAAGGAAGAATCTAAAAATCCTTGCAAAGCCTATGTGAAATAGTTTGTGCAACAGTAAGGTACAAAGTTGGCTCAGGTAACTAAGCTGTTACTGGTCTTCTGGCCTTGCACATACTTCTCACTAGTAGTGTGATCTGGGCACCTTTGCTGTCTTACAAGCAAGTGGCCAGTATGAAGTGCTGGCTTTTAGAATTAAGCCAGGTGCACACAAGTTCTTGCCTTTGTTTTCTTTAACATTCCTTACCAGTTCCAGTCATTTTGAACTTTGAAGCTGAATGTCTCAGGAGCAGTCTCATACAAGAAGAAAATGAATCGTTGCGGCATAAGGTCAGAACTGAAGTCACTCTTTACTTGCTGACTGTATGAGGCTGTGAGTTTTATAAAATTGGTTCTGTCCATTCAAGAAAATTGTAACTATTCAGTTCAGTGCAGTTATTCCAAGGCTGATTATTGTGTAAGTCCTTTGTTATTTTGGTTTCTCTTTCCACTGTCTTCAGCAAACTTAGGGTTGTGATCATATCGTGAAATGTCTGTTTAGGGTCTTACTGCCCCTCTGCTGGAGGTGACTGTCCCTCTCCTTGTGCTACCTGACAGGTGGCTGGATACTGTGCAAACTCCTTTCCTGCTACACTGCAAAGTCAAGACACGCTGAAACTAGTGGCAGGTTAAGGGCTTGTGTGGCTGACTTTGCATGGAAACTTGTGAACAGTGTTCAGTTGCTTTCAGATTTTAGCTGATGGAACAATAGAAACAGGCAATAACTTCTGGCAAAGAGGCAGAAATCATTACTTCTGAAATGGCCACTTCACCATGGTTGAAGTGCACTTAAAGCAATTTAGATCAACTAATGGAAATGTTGTGAATGTCTGTTTCCCAACTCTGGACCTTACAGTAAACTGTAAGAAGGGCTGACTAGTTCAGATAAAATGTTGCTCAGCTCCATGTCTTGTATTTGACAGTATCATCAGCAGATGCTTAGAGAGAGGGTGTAAGAATATATAACGTGGCTTGGTCCTTCTCCAGTATACTTTCCTAAATAGAGATGTTGGGGAAATCTGCAGTTTAAGAACTTTTAAACTACAGATCACATGTGCCTGATCATGTACAAGTGGGAAGCCTTGTTCATGTAAGCAGGACTTCAGTTTCACTTCCTCAAACATACCAAGTAAAAGCTCTCTCTGTATGAATACTTCAGTAAAGTAGGTTTTGTGCTTTACCTTCTGTGTTACAAAACATTATGTAGTATATTGTGCTTCCTGTTTGAGCTGTTCTGGTAGCTGTTCAACACTGTTCATTTGTCCTAAAAATGTTGAAGTAAAATAGAACAATTGATTTCAAAAAGGAGGCTTTTTTGCAAAAGAAAAGCGAGGTTTGTCACTGAGTAATGCTGGGTTTTGTTTGTGGTGTGTTGATTGATATCACTTACAGACTGCATAAGTGTTTTCTGGCAAATACGCACAGGTAAAAACTAGACTTTCTTTTTTGGAGAACTGCTTAGGTCAGAAAAGGAAGCAGATCCCTATAGAATACAGGTTTAAATAAAAAATGATGTGAATAAATATTGAATTCAATGCTAGTTGAAATCAAGTAATGATTTTGATTTCACTGTTGAAACAATGCAAATACATGAATAGTAAGCAAGATTTCTCAAGCTCCTTTTTCTTCTTGTAATTTCTTTCCTTAAATACTTAATAAAAGGAAAAAGAAGAATTACATCTGAAAAACAAATGTACAGAAACAGAAAAGCCTGAGGAACTCTTCATGTGAACAAGAGTCACAGGCATAAACCACATCCGTCACAGAAAGCTGCATCCTGAGGTTCCTCTCTACTAAGAGGAAAAAGAAAAATGTGTCATTCTCCATAATGTGGAGATAAATCTGTCATGCTTGGGAGGGAGCTGGGCAGGGTGTGGAGCTGGATTTCAGGGTGACCTGATGGTGTTGGCCTCAGCGCACCCTGCCAGCTCACCAAACCCTTGGCTGTGGGAAAATGATTACCTTCTAGGCTCAGTGCCATACATCGCTACTGCTAGTCACATGCATCGCCCTGGCCTTGATGCCTGTATGGAGTGGCTGATCAGCTCTGCCCTGTCGGGCTCTCGTTTCACGGCACCATTAATGTCCCTACAGCAACAGCCCAAGGAGATGAGTGGAGGGTTTTAAGTAGGCTTCAGTTTCATGTGTATAAAGTACTGATTATTTTGACTACTTGGACTACTGTGGTGCTCAGCCAGTCAGAGCAGCTTTCTTTCCTTCCCACCCTTCCAGGGCTGTTGAAATAAAGGGAGTAAACAACTTCAGCAAGTGGGAAGAAGGTGAATCTCATCGACTCTCTATTTATCTCTCTCTCTTGTTGTAGTTGTTTGCTTTGCAGGCTGAATCCTCCCGCATGAAAAAAGAGGAACTGGAGGTGGAACAAGTTGTGCATCACAAGTTGCCTGCATATGTGGCCAACATGGATCGACTAGGGGACTCTGAGCTGTGAGTGCCTGCAGGGGAGGAGCTGGGGACAGGCTCTGCTACTTTTGTTGGATTAGGAGTATCATTTCCTTGTTCATTGCCCAGGGAATCAATGCAGAAAGATATCCAGGCAGAAATTCTGGTGACCTAAGGAGGTTTAATAGGGGAATTCAGGATGGGCATCTCTCCTGCCATTTGGGAGAGAGATTCTTCCAATTGGTGAGAGCCCAAGCACACATGGAAGTGATTTTGCTCTGCTCTCAGCATTGCACTAAGGTGTCCTGAGCAGCCAGGGCACTGGTGGCAGTGCAATACCCTGCACAGATGAAGTGGATTGTATCTTGACTCCTATTTTCTTTAGTGTCTGTGGCGCAGTAGGAGAGCGCCCTGTGTTGTTTTTTAGACACTATTAATGTATGACCCCAAGGGATCATTGTTATGCAGAGATGTTTTCTTGCATTTGCAAAGTCAGGGGAAAAGGAGTTTCTTTTCTGCGAGGCTCAGTTATGCACAGACTTCCCCATAAACTTGCTGCATTTCAAGTGTGTTTTATGGCTACATCTATTGTATTCCTGTCTGTGGAAAACAGGCAACATAGCGATACACCTTGTTTAATTGTTATTTAAACTCTTATTTTTCCCCAGTACACAGTAATGCAAAGCAAGTCTGTGTTTTTTAATTCATTGTGTAAATGAGATTTTTTTTTTTCCCCCTTGCTTTAAAATAGTCTGAAAGCAAATGTAGCTTAGTTGCAAGGTATTAATAACACTGCTAGGGCTTTGACTTTCTCATGTGTTTCTTTCAGTTCTACTCAGACAGGAAGGGGATCGATCAAATTGTGCTGCTGACAACGACAAGTAGAAGTTATAGCAGAGACCACACACAAAGCCTTAGTTTTTAAACTAAAAGTTGTCTGTTTAAGTAGACTTAGGTGTCTGGTGAACTATCTTGATAACTGCTCATGCTCTTAGCACAGGACAGGCTACAAAGCTTAATTTGAGATAATTTTTTGTTTGTTTAACTACTCTGTGTGGAAAGCCCTGATGTTCATCTGCACACATGGGGGAGAGGGATGTGAGGGATGGGGATGGGATTATTTATTCCCATATTCATTTTTGTTGATTTGTATTAGAAAAACTTGCCTTAGAAGTAGCATTTCTTGTGTGTGCAACTTGTCTCATAATCCAGGGGTCTAGTTCTGGTTGCTTTTTCCATGTCTCTACTCAACCCAAAGCCCAACTTTGGTAGAACAGCTCCCTTCTAGAAGAGAGGATAAAGACAGTGAGGGTGATGGTATTCCCCTTCCCCTGGGTGCTGCTCTCCTCTCAGAGGAAGCTGTAGCAGAGTGATGTCAGACAGCTACATTCTGGGAAGCAGCTGCTGCTCTTGGTGTTGTGGGCTGAGAAGGGAGGTGTGTGTAATCATAAGAAATTTTAGGTCCATTTCTATTTTTTCTTTGGGTCAAGTTTTTGAGGTATGGAGGGCCTGTGCTTTAAAACTGCTGAGCATGACTTGCTGAATATCTAAGGATGTTCAGTGAAACACTGGATACTGAATGCCTCTTGAAGTAGGACTGGTTTATGCCTTGAATTGGGAATCCTAGCTGAATAGTTTTTTTGAAACCTGGATTCCCCTGCCTTTCCCTTAGGGTCTTTCTAAACTAACCAGATGGAGTGAAAGGAGTTTGAAGTGGCCCTGCAGGGGATTCAGCAACAGCTGGGCCTAGTATCTCAGTGGCATCTCTGAGAAGTGAGCTTTGGTTACAGTAATTATAATGATCTGTTCCGGGCACTAACAGGATGTTTTAAAACAGTTTTTTAATGCATAGTAGTCCATTGGCTTGGAAGGGAACATCTGTTCTCCAGTGGTTCAAACAGCTGGCACTTTGCTTGTTGGGTGGCCTTTGATCGGATTGTCTGGCTACACTTTCATATTCTGTTTGGTGTTTTTTGTTTGGTTGGTGTTTGTTTTTTGTTTTTTTTTTTAATTTGCTTTGTCTCTTTTTTAATTAGTGATATGACCTGCAGCCAGAGGAGTACTGCACATTCTCTTCAGTCCCGGGGAGGCTTTCTGTCCTCTTTTCTCTCCCAAACTAAAAAGGGCCCTTCCAGACCAGCCCATCCAAGTGGGGCTTCTCCAACACAGACTGGCAGCATGCTGCTAGGGAAGAAAGAACCAGCAAATCACCAGGTAGTTCTCAACTGTGTTCGTTTGAAAGGTGCTCAGTATCCAAGGAGTTAACTTGCATCATAGCACTGCTCCAAGCTTTTGCTTCCACCTGAAAAAATAAAATGTCCTTTCCTTCCTTGCAAATGTATGTGGGGCCTGAATGTAGCACAAGAACAGCTGCTGTTGTCTGGGGGCTTCTGGAGCCCTTGCAGGTGCTTGGTTTCTTTGCCTCCTCTTTTGCTGTCTGTTCTGCAGCCTAGCACAAGTGCCCCTTTGCCACATCATTGCTCTCCCTTCCAGAGTACCAGAGGAAAAGAAGGAACAGTGAGCTGCAAGGATGGCAAGAGCCACTTCAGTGGGTTAATAGCAGGCGAGTCAAGTTCCCTGCAGCAGCGGCAGAAGCGCTTGCAAGAGCATGGGAAGGAAAGGAAGGAACTGCTATCGAAAGGAACCTTCCAGGTACTGGGCAACACTGCAAGGCTAGGAAGCAGAGGGCTGATATTTCTGTAGTTTGTTGTGCTAGGCAGTAAAGCAAGTGCTAGTGTTGCCATTAAGCTTCTGAACTGTTACTGTATCAAAGGTTAATCTCTGTAGTTAATCAGCTCTTTCCACACTTGGTTTATTTCTGTGTCCCTGGAACAGAATCGATAGTGACAAAAGGCAAGTCTTCTTCCACTTGAAATGTCATGATCTTTTCAACAACCTGGTCCTGAGGAGAGTGTTTCATCCACCATAATGGTTATGTTCAAATACCTTGTTATAATCTTGGCTCGCCCATCGTGCCCAAGTGAGCTCTCTCCTGTGGGTTCTTATGCTGGTTTGTGCAGGTTCTGTGTGGGACACATAAAAATTGATAGAAAGTTTTCCTGGATAGGAGTGGAAATATCCTTCATAGCAACGTTTGCTTTTTGGAGTTTTTTTCACTGTATGTTGCAATTTTGCCTGGGGGTGTGTCCTGCTTTCTAATCTAATGAAATAGTAAAACTGAGTCCTGAATGTTAACTGCTGAATGTCAGTGGACTACTTCTGTTGACCTGTGTATTGTCTGGCTTTCAGCAGCCATGTGGTTAAAGGATGCAGAGCACAGGAGGAATGATGGCAGCATCATTCCTGAATGATGGCAGCCACGTTTATTTTGGCTGTATGAGACACTCTCTGTTGGGGGAGAGACAGTGCTGAGGGACTGTTGCCTGTTGTCCTGTATGTGTGGCTGTTCCGCATAGGGGAGCACTTCTTTAGAGAGGAGATGTTACTCCACCACTGAGCATTCAAGGCTAGGAGAGAACTTTTTTCTTCATGGTTTATCTAAAATGTTTTAATTGAGCATTGGTCAGAAAATTGCAAAGCCCAGTTTCCCAATAAATATCTTGTGACTTTCCTTTTTCTGTGATAGTCAAGGTTAAGACAGTGTTTTCCTGGCTTTGTAAAAGTTGCCTCTGGTGCTGTACGGGAAGCTGATACTATTTAGCTTTCTGTCGTTCTCAACACATGTGAGTGAAAAGGAAACTGAAAGGCGGCACTGTTTCTTTCACATGAGTGTCATTCATTGGTTGAATCTCCCTATATTAACTAACACAGAGAGAGGCATTCTTGGATTTATTTCCCAATCTTTTCCAGCTTTGATTTCAGATGATTTGATTATGCAGTGTTTGACCTATTGCTCAAGATGTGAAGCTACTATAAATAAGGCAAGGATGTATTAGGGAACAGGGATTCAAAAACATCAATGCAAGTATCATTTTGGGTCATTTCATCTTCAGAGGATGGCTTAGCAAAGGAATGCTTGCAGATGTTTTACCGGCTTATGTGCTGTATCTACTTCTTGTTCAGCTTCTGGTGGTAAGGGAAGACTAAGCTGCTTTCAAATGCGTCTGTGTGCTGCAGTGCAGATCTTGTCTCATTCAGCTCCCTTCACCTCCTAAAACTCTATTTGTTCTGTCTGCCCTGTCAAATTGGGTTTTAAGCTTTTGGACTTATGTGTTGACTCTACCGTTGTCATCGGTCAGTTGGCTGTGCCCCAATCTGCACAGACAGACAACGTTAATCCATCCACTGGGGCTCACCATCCAACAAGAGTTTTTATGCAGATATACTGACCTGCATATTATACAGACTTAACTTATATTGCTGAATGCAGGAATTCCTTGAAATATACGTGTGAGTCTGTGCTCTAATGGCATCAAAATGGGCCTCTGATACCAGCTGAGGTATGCCAAACAGAGATGATGTGGTTCCTTTAATTCTTACAGGAAAGTGTATGGCTGGGTGCACGGAGGCCTATATAAGGGACTCTGAAACCAGGGAGGCCATATTAAATGGTGCAATTGTGCAACACACTATCCTTGTGCTCAGAAAAGTCCCTGGCAGAAGGGGTGTTGAGCTCACAATGCATCTGTTTCAGTGCAGCTTCTTGGTTTTTTCTCCCAGCAGGCTGGGGTGGCTGAAGAGCTTGATCTGGAGCTGCTGCTTCCTTGTATTTCACACAGGATTTCTTCCTTCAGGGCCAAAGTGCTGAGAAGAAAACAGATACTAGCACAGCTGAGACAGAGCCATGCTCAGACCTGCATGCTGAGCAAGCAGATCCTTCAATCAAAACGCCTGCCAGCAGTGCAGAGGCTGTGGGGGTCCGGCAGGAGCAGCCTTTCATCGTCCTGAGCCAGGAGGAGTATGGGGAACACCATTCATCCATCATGTACTGCAGGTAACAGACTGGCAGAAGAGGGCCTTCTCGTAGAAGCCTCTGTAGAGGACCAGCTGTGTCTGGCCTCTTTCTCCCAGCCTCTGTTCTGTCCAGCACATTGTGCATGTAGTGTCAGTTGTAGGGCAGTCGAGTTAGTGTGACTGAAAATAGTCTGTAGCTTGTGCAATGAGAATGGACAGAGATTTTTGTGACTGGGAGATGCTAGCCAGGAGGAAACTCCCTGGGAAAGCAGGATGGTATTGCTTAAGGGCATTATGCTTTGCATGTGGAGCTTGGTGTACTTCATTGTGCCAGTTATTGTGGACTGAACAGGAAGTGGTGCAAGGAAGTTCTGATTCCTGCAGAAGGAATTGGTGTGTGGTCAGGAGAGGAAGGATTACTGGGGTATCTACTCACATCTGAGAACTTTAGGGAGAAAAATATCCAACCAGTTTCCTTCTGCACTTAGGGTTGATTGTTCTGGACGGAGGGTGGCCAGCTTGGATGTGGACGGGGTCATCAAAGTCTGGTCTTTTAACCCCATAATGCAAACTAAAGCTTCATCCATTTCCAAATCTCCGTTGCTGTCTCTGGAATGGGCGACCAAGCGTGATCGGCTGGTGAGTAGTCTGCGTGTGGAGGCTCGAGTGTCACAGTGGATGATTTGGGGTTGTGTTGCTATGTGTTTTACATTAACTTCTAGACAGCTGCATTGTGGATAAGATCAGACCAACAGTTAGTTTCCACTTCAGTGGCACATGGGGAACTGAAGCCTGTAGGGTCTAAGAAAAACTAGAGTGGGGAGTGTGCTCTGTGCATTGAGCAAGGAATTCACCGCTGGTTGCCCTGAGACAGAAGTTCCCAAGTCGCAGTGCGGGTACGGCTGCAGGATAGAAGTAGCTCCTTTAAGAGAAGTGCCTCCCTCCAGGCAGAGCAGGCAGCCACTTGTAAAGGCAGGCAGAGGCAACCTGATACAGCAGCCCATGGGAACCCTGTGGCAGGGAGCTGTGGGGCTTTTCTCTGCTTCTGGCTCAGGGTGTGAGTAGGGAGAGCAGGGCTGAGGAGCAGGGTGTGTGGTGTTGACATTCTGTTTGTGCAGGTGTGAAAAGGGCTCCATAGCCAGTGTTATACTGGTGCCTTACGAGTTGGGGGTTGGTGTGTGCATAAGGAGCTCTGTTCATTTAAATATGACAGTTTAAATGTTTCCTGTAGCACTTTTTCTGTAGTTACTAGAAAGGACCCTTAAATGATATGCATTCTTCTGAGTCCTAGAACTGTTGCTAGTGTTTCATGCCCTCCCTTGGCGAAGAGACAGGGCAGTGTGAAAAGGCAGGCCTGCAACTGAGGGAATATTGTTCACATTCTGGCACTGATGATATGTTGCTGCTAACCCCAAAATGCCACCTGTGAAGAGCTGGTGCTACAGCTTGTCTCTTTCTTTTCTTTTGCTCTTAGAAAGGAAGTTGTCCATGCAGTTGTTCTGATGTTTATTCTGCTTTGTGGAGTTTATTTCCTTCTTGCTGACAGAAAGATTCTTCTTTCTAAAATATATGGGGATTCAGCAGCAAATCAGGCTCTGAAGTGAGACATCTGGCTTGCTTCATTTTCTTTGATAATGCATCTCTCCATGGTTTTACTTTTGATTTAAATTGTAGCACCACTGATAAAGCATGTGTGAGCCCTTCTGAATGACTTCATTCTCCCCTAGATGAAAGGGAGTGGCTTCTACTGGGTTTTCTCTTAAACTTTGATTGTGTTACTCTTCCCTTGCTCTCGTAGATATTGAGACTCCACATGTTTTACCTCCTATAATGTTGAGTTATACTCTATAAAGTGGCTTTTACTCCACCTTGGTGCCTATCAGATCTTTTTCTCACTGGAAAGCAGTGCTTTAACTCTTGTGGCTCTGGGGTAGTCCTGCTCAACGTGATATGCATGGAAACACAAGATGTACCCTAATGGAGTGATGTTTAATCTTAATGCATAAGTAGGAAAAAAAATTATTCTGTGGTGTTGGTGGTTGTTGGACAGCATCATTGTACTCACTCACACTCCTTCCATCTCCTCCTTGCTGGTTTCAAGCTATTGCTTGGCAGTGGGGTCGGGACGGTTCGTCTTTATGACACAGAAGCGAAGAAGAATCTCTGTGAAATCAGCATTGATGAAGACATGCCCAGGTAACTTTGGAATACTGATTTTTATATATAAAAATCAATGTTGTTGGGTTTGCAGAAAAGTTGGTGAAGTCTCAATGTTCCTGCTGCTTTCCTGCAACTGCAGGACTCTCTAGCTGTCATCCAAAATTGCTCAGTTAAACGGCAGACACTCAAAATCTGTCTAAGCACATGAATCCTGCCCTCCTTTACAGTGCACCCTGTTCTTGCAGGGTCTTAATGAGAGAATTTGTAGTTGAGTGTTGTCCTTGAGGCAGCTGCTGGAGAGAGGCAATCTGGACTGTTTGCTGTGTTTCAGGATCCTCTCGCTTGCCTGCAGCCCAAGCGGTGCCTCCTTTGTCTGTTCTGCGGCAGCCCAGAGCCCCATCTCCCACATGGACTTCTCAGCAGTCAGCTCTGGGGGCAAAAGCATGAACCAAGTTCCTGGGAAGCTGCTACTGTGGGACACTAAAACGATGAAGCAGCAAGTACTTGCTGGGTTTCTTTCCTTTCTCAGTCTGCTTGCTGAGAATGAGTGTCTTCTGTTTCAATGTGTTGGAGACCTCTTTCTAAATTATGCTGACTTTCTTTTCAATACACTTCTTTTTCCCCCCTTCCTCCTTTTCCCTCTTATCACATGCAAGATAAAAATGAATTGTGTAAGTAGCTGCTGGGTTTGGATGGGGTTTTTTGTTTTGCTGGTGTGTTGGTTATTTTGAGGGATTCTTCACAATACTCCATAGCCTTGTTTCTATCTTGCCTGCACAGTTTGACTAGAAATGTCGCAAATGGATTGAATGATGCTTTGCTCAGGCTTTTGTCCAGTTGAGCTACATAGAAGGATTTTTCTTTGCTGGTGTTTCTCCTGCCTTCCCTGTTTTTAAGTGAAGTGCTTCTTTCAGAGTTCTCATCTCATGTCATCTTCTCCATTGTTTTGATTTAGATGGGTCAGAGTCTGGCAGGGAATCCTCATCCCATCCCTTGCCTTTGCCCATAAGAAATGCTGTCCTTGATGTGTAGGAGAAAGCAACATACTCAAGCTAATGCCTCTCAGAAGCTGGTTTTGCAGCCTTGAGGCCATATCCAAGAAAGTTGTGGCTTGGTGGAGGTGAAGCATTGGTTTAGGATCACAGTAAAATGCAGCTGCCAGCCATGAAGTCTGTAGTCATGAGAGGTGTAGTCATGAGGGCTCCAAACTGGAGTTCTTGCTACTAGATACTGTCTTTCCTCCCTTCCCTGCAGATCAGTTTTTCAGCACCCCCACCTCTGTTTATTATTAACACAGACTTTCCCTTCCAGCTTCAGTTCTCCCTGGAGCCTGAGCCCATTGCTATTAACTGCACAGCCTTCAACCACAATGGCAACCTGCTGGTCACCGGGGCTGCAGATGGGATTGTTCGTCTCTTCGGTACGTTGAAATTGGGCAATGAGATGGCCCTTTGGTGTCCCTAGTTGGCTGCCCCTAGTACCCCTCTTCTGCCAGCAGTGAGGCAGCTGTGAGACATGCCTGAACACCAAGGTGGAAGCTACTTTGCTTCACAAGAGCTCTCAGGAATGAATTGACTTAAACTTTGTCTGGGGAACATTGGCTGGAGACCCTGGTAGTGCTGCTGGATTTGTTGTTTCCTTCCTGCTGAGGAGCAGAGTTAATTTGCCCTTGAGCCATGTGGTTTTGTTTGTGCCATATAGCAGTACCACTGCCAGAGGCTGAGTCTTGATGAAAGGAATTGATGTGTGACCTTCTAATTGAAGGGAAGGAGTTCATGTCAGTCCTCCTTCCCTGAGCAATTTCTGTTTCTCAGGTTTTGTCCTCTTAAGGCTGTCCTTGCAATAAAGGCAGTTTGGGCTTCAGAGAGCAAGGAAGCTCTCTGAAAGAGGGATCTGCTTTTGGCCCAGGTTTTGAGCTGGAGGCTGCAGTC